TTTTGCTTTTAAACTTGCCTTGATAAAGTTGGATTGACAAAATACATCAGCAATGACTAAGAAATATTTTCCAATTGTCTTTTTCCTCCGTATTTATGTATGTCTTTTCAAACTTTTTCAGGTAAATTTTTATGCTTTTCTATTAGAAATTAACATTTAAAAAAAAAAAAAAAAAAAAAAGTAGAAAAAAAAAAATCAAAGAAAATTCAAAACATCATAGAAACAGACACTTATGTACTGTGTCCCTTCAGAACATAAGTGATCATGGCTCTCCATAGCTTCTGATCACATTTGAATTTATAACCATCCTTCTTTATACCCACTGCTGTCAATGTACACAAACTCATTAAGTAACTCATTAAGCAGATTACTCCCCGTTTCCCTCTGCACCCTCTTTCCTTCAATATGCCCTATGAGTGTCAAATTTCCTAAGCCCTCTTTCCTCATTATGTGCCCTAGAAATTTCAAATATCACTTTCGGATTTTAACACTGCGTAAGTAAAATGGGGTGTTTTGTTAACCCTAAATTTTTTAAATACATGTAATTGGCAACTTGCTTCATTTTCTCCCTCCCACTACTCTCCTGATTTGGTGAGGGTGTGTAGCACAGGTGAAGTGCAGTTGTAATTCAGTTGTTATGGGAGGCAGACATCGCTTTGTCTTCTTCAGGGTGTCCTATCACCCCTTCAACTAACAAAAGTAAGTTTTAATGATATATATCTCCAAATGTAAAGACAACAAAACAAATATATATTCAAACGTTCATAACATTAACTTAAAGGAGAGCTCAATACAAAAAGTAGAGCAATAGTTATTTATTACAAGTTATTACATTCGAACATTTAAGTTACCACTACAAAATTGAATATTTGTTTCAATGCCCAATTCAGACATCTCATCAAGTGGTGTTCAAAGATACTTATAAAAGATCTTTTTTTTTAAAATGCTAATTATGAAACATCACTTTTTTTTATATTTTTAAAAAATTAGAAAGACAAGAAAAATTTCCATAAAAGGAAAAGAACGAAATACATAGGTTAAAGCAGAAAAAAAGATGAGAACAAGAAATCAATAAAAGGAAAAAAGAAAGAGAAACAGAAAGACATAAGAAAAGAAATCTTCTCTTCTCCAAAGAAAAGGAAAAGAAAAGGAAAGAAGGAAAGAAGTAATATATCAAAAATTACAATTGCAAAGAAAAAGAAAAGAAAAGAAAGAAGGGAAATTAGAAATTGTTGATAATTTAGCCAATGAAAAACTGTAAACATTGAGAGGGATGCAATAGAAAAAGAATTCAAAATTTAATCAGAAATATTGGCAACTAGATAGAAAAAATTTTTAAAAGATGTAGCAGTTCGGGAGCCATACAGCATTTTGAAAGAAGCTACATATTTTGAACAAAATTAAACAGAGTATGTAAATAGAAGACACTTTAAGAAGTAAAAACATTAGACATACAAAATAACTAATTCACCTTACAAACCATTACATTATAAATAAATAATAAATTTTTGAATATTTGTATGAATTATACTTCTCCTGTTTTCCCTTTTCTTTGCAATCTTTGATATATTACTTCTCTTTTTCTTTGCAAAAGAGATTTCTTGTCTTTCTTTTCTTACCTCTTTCTATTTCTCTTTCTTTTTTCCTTTTATTGATTTCTTTTTGTCCTCTTTTTCCTGCTTTAACCTGTGTTTTTCTTTCTTTTCCTTTTATAGCAAAATTATATATTTCTTTCTTTTCCTTTTATGCCAACTTTTCTTATGTCTTTCTAATTTTTTAAAAAATATAAGAAGTGATGTTTCATAACAAGCATTTTTTTTTTAAAATCGTTTATAACTATCTTTGATCACCACCTGATAAGATGTCTGAATTGGGCATCAAAACAAATATGCATTTTTGTAGTGGTAACTTAAATGTTCAAATATATATATTGTTGATTTCATATTAAAGTGAAATGACTGAAAAACTTTCCCACTTCCATTTTATAGGCAAAAGTCCACAAAATGAATGCTGGGATATTTTTCTTAGATAGTAAGATTGAACGGCTTACATTTTGACAACTCTATCCAGATCTGCCTTATCTAGTAGACAGACTCACTGTGTTTGTTTGTCCAACCTTGTTTTGTGTGCAGACACCAACTTATAGTTGGTGAACTTTTGTGCCTTCTTATTTGTTGATTTGTTTTGCATTTATTGTTTGCTTCCTTGCTTGATACTATTTCATTTTTTGCCGTTTTCTTTTTATTGCAAACTTTATTAATTCTGTTCATTGGGCAATTGTATTAGTTATCTTGCTTTTGACAATAGCTTCTAAATCATCATATATCCATATATTCTATTCCTCTTTCAGGCCTGTAATTATGAATTTAGCTAATGACATATTTCTGTTCATAGAAATATATTGCACCTATTTTTGACAAATAAAACTTTTCGCTATTATTGTATTGGTTTGTTTCATTTACAATTTACATGCATTTATGCAACAAATTTATGATAATTTTCATTTTAAATGAATAATTATATATCCAGTTCAAGTTTGGATTTAATCTCTATTGTAAGGGAAATTGCCTGTTACATTATTTTTTTCCTCCAACAGCATGACAATATTTTACACAATTGTAACACTATAGGCATTTTTATATTGGGTGCATAAACACTGCAAGAGACTCACCATTTTTAAGAAATCCAAGGTGACTAATGCAGGGTTAAGTATGAGTGCCTTTCATGCTTAACTTTTAAAAACATCCTCATCGTTCGTATTTTCAGTTCATGATATTGTTGGCATCTGTAGAATCAGATCTCTGTCACTTTAATTTGTAAGGAAACTGCCCAGCATCAACTGCCAGATCACCAGGTTTCCGATTCAAAGCTCAGACTTTTGGCTCTCTTGCTGGCAACCATGCATTACTTTCTGGTTTCTTACAGTTAATAGTTAGTCCTTTCTTCTGACTTTCCTTTGCTACTTCTCTTAGGAGTCCTTGTAGTTTTCCTTCTGAGCCCTTCTATCAACACAGTCATATATGTATCTTCTGTTGTTAAGACTGATTTTTTTTTTTTTTTCAGAATTCATAAAATTAAATTTCTTTGCTGACCTTCTTAATAAACTTTGATCTGTTCTTTTATTGTTCTAATTTTTTTTTATATTCTTTCACACCCAGTAACACCTCACATTTTAGTAGCTTTATTACCTTTCCCAGGTGAAATGATTAAAACAAAAAAAAACTTACAATGTAGTGTTAGATGTATGCAGTAATTGTTGTATGTATTTGACAAGATTATATTACTCTCATATGGGAAGGTTCAGACTCAATTTGAATCAATGAATCCCATTGGCTTCAAGCCAGCATTAGCCACCCCTTGCTACACACTAGACACTATTTTCATTGAATAATATACAAAAAAAAAAAAAAAAAAAAAAAAAAAACATCAAAAATCATTATAAATTGGAACCTAATAATATCACAGATTAATATTAAGATGATACTGACAATGATAAAATTATGATCATTATTAAGCATTTGTGTTTTCACACTAGATATCTAGAGACCCAGGCTGAAGACTAAGTGACACCAAGTCTCTTCAAATCACCAACACCCATGTCAGTAAAATAGGGCTCTCAATCTTTCCTTTGATTATCAACTACACCTATTATTATGAGCACAATTCTAACTATTGTTCACTCTCCAGCAAGGTCCTGTTATTTCTCTAATTTCTCAATCTTCGCATTTATTTTGTGGTCTACTGTCCTTTCAAGAATTATCACATCCAGTCTTCCCAACACAGGTGCAATAGTTCGTCAGGGTCTCAAAATCACAAAGTATTTTCTTTTCCAAGACAGTCTCTAATTTGTGTTGATAATAATTGTTTGCATAGATAATTCCAAATAATTTGAACAGTTCCCAGTGTATGACTGTTGTCACCTGATCATGGTCATTTTTGTATTCTTGTTTGAAGTCAGCTTGTTACAGTCACTGATTATGTGCTTTACCATTTCAGTGTATGGAACAATTATAACGAATTTAGTATAGTTGAAAAGGAAATTGAACATAGAATAGACTACATCAGATGTAATTGGCCCAACACCACAAATTGCTACAAAACAAATATACCAGCCTGAAAACTAGAGTCATGCTACTAGTCTTGTCAGATCAAGACTTTCATATGGATGTCATGCAGGACACCAAACCCATTCAGAAATATCTAAACTGTCAGCTGTATACAACTGCTTCCTAAGATCACTGTTTAAAAATGGCTTTTAGTGAGTGAAGACTGGAGGCAAAGGCCACTCTTCTTTGAACATTGTGAACTGGCGCTACATAATCGCAAGCAAAGAACTGTACCAAATAATAAAAACCAAATCACTTGAAGACTACCAACAGCAGCAACAACTAAAATGGATAGCACATGAAACATGAAGGGAAATTAGTGATATAATCAAGATGAGGTTTTGAGTGAATGAAGTCTGAGGTTCTTGGCAAAATTCATCCATTTTTGAATATTGTGGACTGTTGATACAGAATCACAAGCAAAGAACTGTACCAAATAACAGAAACCACATCACTTGAGGACTACCAACAATGGCAATAAGTAAAATGCACATGTAACTCAAAGAGAAAATAATTACAATCAAGATGTTCACATTTCACACTACAAACAAAAGGCTAGGAAGGAAACCCCTCCACCCAGTCAATACTGGAAAGAGTGATAAAAGCTGCTGGAATTCAGAAACCTATTTTCCTGAAAAAAAATTATTTTAAGGGAAAGATTTTATAAATTTCAGCTGAAAGCAGTACGGACTGCTTAGTCAATGAATGCCATGTTTCCTTCTAGGCAAACAGTTAATATTACAATTACCTCTATTTCTTTGCAGAAGGAACATCTGTTTTTCTGGTTTAGCATCAACCAACCTCAATTGTAAAGTATTAGGAATTGATGTCCCATTGTTTTTTTAGCCTTAAAGTCAAGATATGAAGAAAATCAAAAGAAAAGAAAAATCTTACCTTTAACTTCAATCTTTCGGATTAGTACTGGTCGAAGAGCACTTTCATCATCATCACTGGAGAGCAAGCTCAGTGCTTTCCAAAACAGAACATTTAAACCAGACTTCAAAGGCAGCTAGAAAAGGAAAAAAAGTTACAATTAAGTCATTTTCTTTTATAAAAAATATTTAAGAAACTAAATCAGAATTAAATTACAATTAGAACAAATACAGGGTGTGACAGAAATAGCTCCTACATTTTAAACTGTCACCTGTTTGGTGCTATTGAACTTAGGCAAGTGGCAATGGTGTCCTCATTTAGCTAATGTCCTACCATTTTTCTTTCAGATATCATCAGTTACTATCATGGCTTGGACCGGTGCACACTGTGTGTGTGCTGTTGAAGGGAACCATCCTCTGGTTTATCAAACAAAAACACTTGACATTGAGATAAAACCACATTCCCCCTCTTCCCTTTCTACATGGGTTTCCATAGTATCGCAATATGTTAAAATTAAATAAGATATTTTTCATTTTGTATGAAATAATTTTTATAGGGTAATCAATTTACACATTGCTTCTAAAGAATACCTGCCAAGAGTACAGAAAATATGCATTCTTTTTAAGCAAACTTTTTTTTTTTTTTTAAGTCATGTCCATTCAAGATGTACACAAATATAGCTATCCCCAGATATCTTTTCTTTACTATCTTCCTGGGAAAGATAGTTGAGTAGTTTCCCATTGCTTTCTCCATTGTCTTGAATTCAGATATGTTGTCCTCTTCTAATGGCTATCACCAAACTTTACAGCTATTTAACCCATAGATAAGGGTGAAGGGCAAAGAAATGGCTTTATGCTTTTCCTGAAGAGCATCGATGCAAAAGTGAATGAAACAGACTGGACTTGAAATTGGTTTACCAATTCACATTTCTGTGTCGATAGTAATTACACTCTCTTTGGACAACTTAAGCATGACCCTTCTTTGAAATAAGCCCATCTTAGGCTGATAGAAAAATTGAAGTCAATACAGTAACCCCTAGACTATCGCGGGCTGTTACATGCCAAAAAAAAAAAAAAAAAAAAAAAAAAAACCACCCCCACCCTGATCCCTGATAGGTGAAAACCTGCAAAGTAGAAACAGGATTGGCTAAAGTGGTTCATCTGAGAATTGTAATGTATATTTTTTTTATTTTTATATATTAAAGCTTTTATGACTCCTCCATACACTCTTAAAAATTCTTTCTACACTCAAACACTTTAAAATCCTTCTTGATATAACGAACGCTGGATTCATTGATGCCGTAATGGTGGCCAACAGCCACATAGCTTCTCCCTTCCTTCAGCATCTTGAGAAGTTTCACCTTCTCCGCTATAGTAAGAACCTTCCTCTGGCACTTGGATTCACTGCCAGAAGGTGCAGAATATTTTGGCAACAGCATAGAGCTTGAAATAACTGAGTGACATGGGATGACAAAAGCTAGGATGCTGGGAACTGAGGCTGCAGTCACTAAACCAATCAGAACCCAGGATACTCAATAACATGATCTCATTGGCCGTCTCTCTCCTATTAGCTAATAGGGGAGAGACTAGCATGTACTAAATAATTTGAGAAGACTCAGCCAAATTTTGATTGGCCACAGAAACCCACAATGTACTGAGGGAACCAAGGTAATAATTTAAATTGAATATTTTTAAAAATCCGCAATGCACTGATAGTGCGAAAGGTGAATTGTCATATAGTGAGGGATTACTGTATAGTTTATTTTTAATGCAAAAAAAATTATCAAGAAACAGACTGAAAAATACATTTTTTTTAGTGGGGGGGGGGAGATGTGCAATTCTTGACAGCGATATTCTTGATGCTACATGTTTCCCCCAACCTAGAAATTGAAACAAGTATTTAATTTACTAAATGAATAAGGCTATTACTAAAATTTAAATGTTTTCTGTATGTATTAATGAATGTCAGTATTCTTGTTCCATAATGAAAAGAGAAGGATCAACCTGTGTTTGCGTATTCTATCAATGACTTATACACACAAGTGCTTATTTTTATAGTTAATAAATAAATGACAATGCTGAATTAATAGACTTCTTAGAGATTTTCTCTATATCCACAGCATTAGACAATATGAAAAGAAAAAAAAAAAGAAGCAATTTCTATTAACACAAGAGTAACGCTAACTCAATGGTGCAGAAGAAAGAAAAAAGAAAAGAGGAATTTGCTTAAATAAAAAAATTATGGCTTGTAGCTTTGGTTTTTTTTTTTCTAATTACATATTCATAGAAGCAACATGAATTAATCCAGGCTCGAGATCGTTAGCAAGCATCAATTAGATGGTCATCAGGTCGTTAAGAGGAAAAGAAAAAAAGTATAAAATTCTGGTCCCAAAATGAAAGGGTTGATGAAATGGATAATAATCAGACCAAATAAATATGCTAATATAGACTAATGTGCAGCAAGAGAGCAAGTGTTATCAAGATAATTTGTTGTAATGAGGTTGTCATTTCCAAAGTATGTGCTCTGCTATGCATACTAATAAAGCTATTATTTTATGGAAATAAAGAGAGAGAGAGAGAGAGAGAGAATAAAAAGCAGAGTGAAACCTTGAGTAAGCAAAAAAAAAAAAAAAAAAAAAAATAATAATAAGATATATATATATATATATATATATATATATATATATATATATATATTCTAAATAGGGTTAGTACATAAAATAGTTACAGGATGTGAATTAATAAAAAAAAAGGGAGTTTATAGGTATTAGCTTCAAGACACTTAAATAGCTACATTATAACAGTAAAAATAAACTTTCATCAGGATTTCAACTTTAGACTTGAAAGAAAACAGGGGCCCCAATTTGCAGTTGGTTTGTAAACCAATAAAATTCTTTTCAAATTGTTCTCCATTAAGAAAATATTGACATTTTAATGACGGAAATCTTAATAGTGATAAAAATGTTGTATGCTTTTGGCATCCAAACATTGCTTTTCATTTATTCATGAACATGTCTTCAAAATCATTTAAAGAAATTTTTAAAAAAATAAAAAAAAATTACAATTAAAAATAAAATAAAAAAAAAATAGAAAACCATGTACATAAATTTTGGTTATATTAAAAAACCATCAGATCCATTGGATCACCTTTCAAGATAAATTAATGGTGGCATGACAAAGATTAAATTTAGATATTTCAATGAAAATTAAATGGTTTGGTTTATTTTGTTTTACGGCATATCAACCTCAATGGGTCATTTAATGCCGACAACATTTTGTATTGCTGGTAATAATTTTTTTTCAAAATAAAGTATTGCTGGTAATAGTTAACTATTTGCCCATAGCTGGGACCCTAACAGGTGCTACCACCTTGGGTCATCTGTGAACATCAGCAATTAAGAGGTGATTCCACTCCTCAAAACCTCCTGATCAGAGGCCTTGCTGCTGGACGTAGTTTAACATCTTATGCAGGATGATGAAAATTAAATAAATTATATACTTTTTTTCTTTTTTAATTAAATAACTAGTATCTATAATAGTAAAAAGATCTTGATCCAAATAGTGTTGTCACAATAAAATAACCAACACAGGAAGGAAAATCATATCACTAGGGATTTTTATATTAATAAGTTATGCCTCAAATATAGCTGACAGATATGGTCCAGAGTTCCTGCTATATATTTAAAGATTCTTGATAAAATCCAAAGAAGAATCAGCAATATTATTGGTCCTGACCTGGTATCTCAGCTTCAGTCACTTTCCCAACACCATAAAGTTGCTTCCCTGTGCCTTTTTTATAAATACTTTAATGATAATTGTTCAGATGAGTTCTTTGCTATTGTACCTAGACTTTAACAATTTAAGCACAGTACTAGATTTGCAACAACGTCTCATCATTTTGCAGTTGACCTGGTTAGATATAACCCTAAGCTCTATGCCAATACTTTTTTTTTTTTTTTTTTTTCATCTCTCACTTGTGGAGCCCTTTTGGTTTCTTGCTTAACTGTCAAGTTTGATCCTCAAAAGTTAAAATGTAATGTCAATCATTATCTACTGGCTTAATTACTCTTCTGTTTTTCTCGCTCATCAATAATGCTTCTGTTTTCTAAGTCTCTCACACCCAGTAACCTCTTGTGCTTTAGTGGCTTTACTGCCTTACATGGGGTGAATCCGATTAAAAACTACTTTTACCAAACCAAGAGGAGAAGTAATAATAATAACAAATTAATAAGTTATACCTTAAATATAGCTGCCAAATATGGTCTAGTGCTCCTATATATTTAGAGATTCTTGATAAAATCCAAAGAAGAATCAGCAATATTATTGCTCCTGACCTGGCATCTCAGCTTCAGTCACTTTCCCAAGATCATAAAGATACTTGCATGATAATTGTTCAGAGTTCTTTGCTATTGTCCCTAGACATTAACAATTTAAGCACATTACTAGATTTGCAACAACGTCTCATCATTTTGCAGTAGAGCTGGCTAGATGCAACCCTAAGTTTTATGCTAACAGTTTCTTTTCTTGCACCTCTCGCTTGTGAAACCCTTCCGGTTTCTTGCTTTCCAGTCAAGTTTGATCTTCAAAAGTTTAAATACAATGTCAATCATTATCTATTGTTTTAATTACTCTTCTATTGTTCCCGCTTCTTAATAATGCTTCCGTTTTCTAATTCTTTCACACCCAGTAAGCCCTTGTGTCATAGTGGCTTTACTGACTTGTATGGAATAAATTCGATTAAAAAGCTTTATGATCATAGATCTCTGCCTTTTATTAAAACAAATTAAGATCTTAACGCTGGTTATAAGAGTAAAATGTTTCCTTCACACTGATGGTGAACTAGTTTGCTTAATTAAACAAACCAAAATTACATTCACTCCAAATATTATATTATAGGAAGAAACTAATAAATGTATAAGAAAATAAAATAAAAAAAAAAAATTCCATTTTATAATCTTCGTTGTCAAAAAATTGTTACTCTCATTCTCTTTTGTCAAGTTTCATTGTCATCATAACCACAATCAGGAGTAATTAATAATGAAAGAAAAACAAAATAAATTCCATTTGTGTCTACAAAGTTTCCAAGCTTTTGTGAAGTTACTTTTTCAAAGAACAAATATTTTTCTGGACATTAATAATAAAGGAATTCACGGCTTTACACCAAAAGTTGCAAACAATAATTGTTACTGTTAAAAATAAATCAATATGATAAAAACAATAGATACCTATTTTCCTCATTTTTTTTACCATAAAAACCCTCCACTGGCTATGTGTAACAAACACAAAATCATTTCATACATATACAAGTTGTAGTTTCTGTCTGTTATATTTTTTCCCTTTTATTTAAATTAAATTTAAACAAAGGAATGACTGCTGTCCAAAATATAGGAGAAAGCCAGAAGATGGAGGTAGCAATGAAGTAAAATTAATCATTTTCTTACAAAAAAAAAAAAAAAAAAAAAAAAAAGTGACACACAGTAAGGTGTGGGTAAAATATATATATATAATTTTAGGATATTACAACAAAAACATGTAAGAATCACTACACAATTGCAGCCGTGTTTCAATACAATGTGTCTCCACAGTGAACGATTAATTTGGTTTCAAAACCAAAATACATCCTCATTTAAATAAAAAAAAAAAAAGAAAAAAAAGACTTGAGGGCTTTATCTGATCAACCAGATTGGAAGTGTACTATTCTTTCTCATCATACCTGGAGACATATATATTTTGGAATAAAACCTCAGTCTATAATCCCATGACAAGTAAAAATTGCATTAACCTCACAAGAAAGTAAAAGACAAATGTCGACTTACAGATATTTGATGCCATTGACCTTCTTCAGTGGCAGGAGGATACTGATTGGAACGATTGTCATCAAGGTTCTGGCACTGATTGTTTTGGACCTGAAAAATATAATTCAAGTTTTGTTATGGTTGCACTGGCAAAGAAACAGTTAAAAATAAAATAATTAGAAGAAATTTAGTGAACTTTCTTTTGGAAAAAATTATTTAACCACACACAGCATTTGTATAAAACAAAATAACTACTTTTCATCATGTTATCAACCAACCAAATGTAATGATTTTGAAAATAGTGAAATTATGTGAGAAAGTATTTGTTTTTTTTTAACTCGAGAATGATTCTCCTGGGTCTGATAGACCAAGGTCTGCCATACACATCTCTTACTCTTTAATTGTAATAAAATACATTGGGTAAATTAATCATAAATTTATATGCATTGTGCTAGCTAATGTGACCAAAACATTTATACAATTATTCATTTTATTTTTTTACACTAACGTTCACTCTATTCAAGGCCCAAGAGTCACTCAATATAGAGGGTTACTGAACAAGTTTGTGTGAGTGGAAAGAGAAAGAGGCACAATTTATAAAGATACATGATTAAGATAACTGTCAGCCTACAAAGACGACGGTCAGCCCTAAACCCACAAAGACGACGGTCAGCCGTAGACTTGAACAGGTTAAGACTGTAGCAATCAAAGAAGTATCCTATTGGCTGTCGATTCCACAAAGTAGTGGTTTGTGGGAAGAATCTGTTCAAGTGCAACTTCTTACGAATAGAATACTAAGGGAATGAGGGTAGTTTGCTACAGCATACGTGGCATGGTGAGTCTTAGCTGTGAAGGTTAGAACTGGTGGAACAAAGGAGTGTAGGTAAACAGAGCACTTTCCATGGAAATAGCAGCAGAGCAGTGAGAGGCTTGTAATGTTTCATCTGTGGGAAAGGGGGTCATAGAGACACTTTTGAACTCAAAACTGGAAAGTGAACAGCTGCAGTGCAAACATGGTAGCAGTACTCCATTTCTGGCTTGATCTGGTTCTTCTAAAGATAGAAGATAGCAGAAGGAGTCAAGTACTTACTGAAGTGGTACAGAGAACCAATCATGGAGAAGGATTTTATAAATTTCACTTGAAAACAGTAGTGGTTGCTCAATCAATGAATGTCAACTGTATATAGGGAAACAACTAATATTACCATATCAAAAATGATTATCATTTTAGGAATTATCTTTACTTAAATATAAGTAAGTAGTGGGAAGATATTACAAACAAACCACCCTTGGGTGGGTGGGGGTAATTAAAGTTAGTTAAGTTAGTTATTGTCAGAATTATTGTTTTTGCCTTATACTACAAAAATGACAATGAATTAATCATGAGACCCTGAGGGTCAGAGGGGTATGACATGTAATGCAGCCACAGTAGCATTGGTGTTTCCTGGGCAAGATAGCCCAACAGAGCGCAACCCTCTCCAGGATGGTTTTGAATTTGGAGGATGGTGAGAATAGTTGGATTCATACCTTTCCCAAGGATATCAGCACGTAAGAATGTAATGACCTTGACTGGAATTCGAACTCAACTCTCCAATACCTTAATCGCATTTGCCATGCTTTTTTTTTTTTTTAACTTTATAGAGGAGTTGACTATAGTCGAAATCATAGAGTCAATACAAACTATCCTTTCCTTAGCTGCATAGTATGTGCTTGACAGGGCTACATACAGTTTCCTTCTCTTAGACCAGTTACCACCCAAGGTGATAGAACCCAGTCTGTTCGACTATTTACCCATAGCGGGAGGAGAAGAGTTGGACTCATGCCTTCCCCAAGGTTATTAGCACCTAAGTGAATGTAATGAACTCAATTGGAATTCGAATTTGGCTCTCAGCTTCTTCATTCTAAGCCACTATTACTCTGCCATGCCTGCATTAATAGAAAGAGTCAAACAGGTCTATACCCTAGTTTGTAAGTGTCTACTCAGAAAGCCTCGAGTGGCTCTTGGGCCTTATATATGATGAACATTAAAAAAAAAAAAAAAAAAAAAAAAAAAAAAAAAAAGAAGAAATTGTACAGACACACAGAAAAAGAAATAATTTGTTAGGAATATTCAATTTTTATACACAGCTCACAGGTTTACTTACCAAAAAGTGTAACAGTGAGGCAGATTCTGAAAACTGGTACTCAAAAGTGACAGATCCAGCTTTGACCAAGTTGGCAGTGTAAACCAGAGATGTCGCACATTCTTTTGGATAGGCAGCAATAAAATTACCTTTTGGTATCCACCCAGAACTGCAAAGAAAAAAAAATACAATTACATCAATTGTTTTTATTGATTGATTTGTTTTTTTTTTGGTTTTTATGGCTTATCAACCTTTTGCAGGTTATTTAAAGCCAAAGAATATCTTTAGATTGTAAGAATTATTTTTTTTATTTTTTTATTTTTTTTGACATAATGATTTACAGATATAAATCCTACTAATTAACAGCTGGGAGGAGAAGTGGATTCATACTTTTCCCAAGGGCATTTGCATGTTAGTGAATATAACAAAACCCATCTGAAATTTGAACTCAGCTCCCCAGTTTTCAATTCTAAGCTATTATCCATTACACCACCCACACATCCAATCTTACAGCACTTGGTATACTCAGTCAGTCATCCACCAGGCTTCATGTTGCTTAACATCTGTGATTGTAGGAGAACCATTGTTTCAATGTGATATAGCAGTCAAAAAATTAAAAATAAAAATAATAATGTTTAAGAGATTACTTTATTTTTTTTATAATTTTTCCACCATTCTTAAGAAAATTACATTATTACGGTCTAATAAAACAGAAAATGTGACACAAAAATCTGAAAGCAAATAAAACTAGCAAAAAATGTCTTTCAGAAATTAAGCAAGTATTAAGACATAGGAAAATATCATCATAAATAAAAGAACATGCTGAACTGCTATTTAATATCTTCTACATATGACAGTGAATGCTGGACAATTTCATCCTAGATGAAAAATTGAATTTAAATTTTTGAAGATCCAAGTTAACTGGAAAGTATGGAGCTAGAAGAGAGTTCCACAAGCAAGACATGTGAGAAAAGAAACTGCTAGTATAGAACTTATTACATTTAGCCAATTCAACTGAACATTGATGAGACCTTACCACCAATCTTGTACTACACTTAAATTCATAGAGTCTAGATACTATCGCAAACAGCTCATCCGAACAATTACCATGAAAGTATTTATAGAAAAGGCACAGGGAAGAAACTTTATATCTGTGGGAAGGTGACTAAAGCTGAGATACCAGAGCAGGACTAATAATATTGCCAATTCTTTGGATTTTGGAACATAAAAGAAGAAACCTCTTGAACTGGATAAAAAGAACTGTTAAAGTCTCGAACTGATGCACAAACTATTTTTCTTCTTTTTATTTGTTATTTATTTCTTCACCTTCATTGCAGAAGATTTACTCAAATCCTATCGTCAGCAAATATTATAACTCATTTTCACTTCTTGTTTAGAAAAAAAAAAAAAAAAAAAATCAAACTTAATGACAGTTAAGTTACACAAAGTGTTTCAGTGTAAAACCTGTAATTCATTAGGGTCATAGGGTCACCACATGTACTGCAGTAGTTTCCTGGGCTAGACAGCCTGATGGAAGCTATAGAACCCAATTTATCCTGCAATTTAGCCATAGCTGGAGGGAAGAAAAGATGGATTCATGCCTTTTCCCCAAGAGTATTAAAACGTAATGTAATGAATTCAGCTGCAACTGGAAATCAGCACTTCAATTCCTCAATTCAAGCTACCATGTTGTGTATATAGAATGAGCTAATAAAGAAAATTAAATTAAGGTGAGAAGATGTGGAGAGCCATCACAGACTATATCATGAAAAAAAAAAAAGAAAAAGAAGAAAAAGACATTGCTATAACATTTAACTTTCAGTTCAAGAGTTATGACAAATACACAAAAGGTTTAAGTAAAAATAAATCCACAAAGATATTTTTGATTAACTTGTCAATACTAAAAAGAATATCTTCCATGATATGATTGTTTATTCCTTCCTATCTCAATAAATGATTCAGTGCTTTGACAAAGCACTAAAAATATAAAAAGATTATTTTTTTAATTTCTTTCTGTGTTCATCAGTCATTTTGTCGAACTTTGAATTAACTGCTTTCTTGGAAATCAAAGTTTTAGCCTCTCAAGCTTACTCAACTGGGAGGGTAAAGAGTACTTACTAACTTCAACATGAACTGCTGATCACATGAAAACCCAGGTTTCTAACCGACAGCTATTTACTCATCACCGACACGCATTCATGAAGAATTAGGTTTTAGTATGTTATTAACCTCCAATCTTGTTTCGCATACCAACAATCTTTTTTATACTGTTTGGTGGGGGGAGAAGAACTACTAATGACTTCATTATGAACAAAACTTCCATTTGTTGCTTTTTTTTCAAAAACCAATAAACTTTTTCCACACAGGTTTTAAAGAGAAAATAAAATGCACAAACAATGGTTGGCAAAAATAAATGACTAGATTCCCCAAAATAAACTTGTACAATGCTATAGACACCCACATTTTAAAGTGAAAGTAAATGTAGTAAATTGCAGTGTAGTCTGGGCTTTGTATCCTCGAGTGTTAGGGTGACAACTCTGAATTCAAAACAATGGAAAAAGCAATGGGAAACTACTCCATTATCTTTCCCAAGAAGATAGTAAAGAAAAAGATATCTGGAGGGGGAGGTATGCTTTCCTACATCTTAAAGGGATATGGCCCTTAAAGAAAAAAATTTGCTTAAAAAGAATGTATATTTTCTGTATCCCTGTCATGTATTCCTAAGAAACAAAGTGTGAATTGCTTATCCTATAAAAAGCATTTTGTTCGAAATAAAAAATATCTTATTTAATTTTAACATATTGTGATACTATGGATGCCCACATAGAAAGTGAAGAGGTGCTTTTATCACAGTCTGAAGTTTTTTCTGTTTAATGGACAAGCAGATGGTTCCTTTTGAAGTTCAGTCTTCTAAGCAGCATCCACTTTGACCAAAGGGAATGAGAAGTAAAGGTGTGAATTTTTGGAAATCAAATGGCAACAAAACCTGAAATAGGGTATATCTGGCTGCTGGCCTATAGTAACAGTCATGCTTGGGATTGAGGAGAGTGCTGGTCCACCCTTGGCAAGAGACATGCCTGTCTGTCTTGCAGTTCCAAAGCCTCCATTCATATTGCCAGCCACCATGTTGGGATGAATAGACAGGCAAGGAGTTGGTAGGGAGAAGAGCTGACATAGCAGAAGCTGTCTCAGGTATCACCCACCAACCAAGACAAGCGAGTGAAACCCTGAATAAAACACACACACAAACATATATATATATATATATATATATATATATATACACACACACACACAAAACAGGATTCACATTCTCTTTCATCGTGTTATCTTGTGAACATGCAGCAGGCCCTTCCCAGCTTTAAGTGCATACTGACAAGATTGAGAATTGCAATGCAACATGGGGGTAATCATTGGCCAGTTGGTGGGAAGATTGGGCGAGGTTCACATATGTTTACACTTGTACCAGACAGTCACGAAAAGAAAAATCTATTCCCCCCCTTTTTATTATTATTATTATTTAAAATCATCAGTTGGTGATTCAGATTCACTCACCAATTAAGTACAATAATTCAGCATCAGTATACATATAAAAATTGGGTTATCAGGTGCCATAATGACTAGAAATTATGAAAAAATAACTTGGGTTATATGAGTAGTTTTTTATTTGGAACAAACGATGCAATCAAAATACATAGAAATTAAGAAAATTACTTTTCAGATTTACTTACATTAGAAACAATTTTAGTTAAGCTAAGTCAGTTATGAATTACTTATTTTTTGTTAACCTTAAGCCTTTGAACCCAGATTGCCTGATGAGTATGGAAATCCCAGTCTGGGCCCCTGCTGTCCATGATCTTGGATGCTATACCAGCAGCTCATATTCAATGGGTTAAGTAAAAAGAAAATGTTAATCCCTTTGAATTATATCTATCTTATATTTTCTTCTTATATTGTGTACTATAGTTAAGCACAATCCATTATTTTTTTTTAACCACTCCCTATAACAAACATTAATTTAAAAACAATTTTATAACAGAAAAGCAAAAGAACTGTGCTACAAATCTCAAATTCATCATATAACAGCTAACATTTGTTCAAATGACTGACAAACATTAAAAACTATACACAATTGGGGAAATTATACAGAATGTTGGCTTTATTTGTAGTCAATTTTAATCTTGCCAGGATTCTTAACGTACCCAATCCCTGAATTGCAGCCTGCAAACTGTAAATTTAGAAGCAATATTTAAATATCTAAATTGTAACTTGAACATGTATGATAAAAAAAAGTGAGTCTTTAAGAAATTTCTATTCTTGAATGATTGTGCTACAAAAGTAAAAAACGAAAACTTCCAAACACTTTAATTAACCTAAACTTCCTTCTCTGTAATATTCAAAATGAACATCAAGTTTTTATTTTGCTAGCCCAATAAGTATGGCAAAGTTTGTCTTATCATAGAGTCAAAGTACTACAGACATAAGAAAACATGCATACTTTAATTGGGGACTTTGTAAAATAAAGATTATTACAATGCAGATATATCAAAGACCTGAGAGAGTTGAAGGTCTCGTTTTGCGTAAAATTCTTGGAATGCAGGTAGACAGATATCGTTAGCTTTTATTGGCAGTCTGTCAAGAAGGATCACCGATTTCAGAATTGGGTTAGAAGGAGCTCCTTACTCACCTTATTGAAATTTGAGTGGTCAATGGCTTCATCCTCTTGATGAAGGTGGATGAGCTGCAGCTCAATAACCAGCTTCCCGAGTAATGATTGGAAGAGGATTCTGGGCCCAGACATCACTAACCCCCCCCATACACCAAATGAAAATAATGGAATAAGGATGTGCAGGCTGTGTAATGAATAGCAATTCAAAATGAGAAAATGGAGAGCAAAGTTTGAATTCCAGTCAAGTTTGTTAGATTAATTTTTAGACAAATACACTTGGAAAAAGTATGAGTTAATCTCTTGTCCCTCCAGCTATGGGTTAAACAGCCGGGCAGACTGGGATCTAGCCATGGTTGGCTACCAGTCTAAATGAAAGACAGCATTGATTTTCAAAACTTTAACCGATGTCCATGGTCCTTGATACACAGCAATGAGAATGAAAGAAGCAAGCAAAAGAAAAGAAAAAAGTATTGGTAAAGATGAAAAAAATTAAAATGTAT